ACAAGACTTCTTTCTTTTACCAGTGTACTGGGATTACTTTATTGACTTCATTTTGGGATCGATATTCTTAACTTTCCTATTGAGAATTGTTCTAGAGGTTTCTTCTTGGGTTAAAGCTGGCATTGATGCTTTTGTACCTGCTTGTAGATACCAGGTGAAACCACAATCTTCTTGGTTCACACAGGCCGTTCAGCTGCTATAGCCCACAAGAATCACTCTGGAAGTATCAGCATGATAGTTCTGATCACAACAGACACCTATTTATGTCTGCTTGCAATAATTCTAGATGTGTCCCCAAAGAAGCTAAGTCTTTATTTACAGATAAAATGAGGCACCTTGTGACAGCTGGTAGCATTGTAATAGTGTGTTAAATGAGAGAAAGTCTTCTATTCCTCCTCTTCATTCAATTTGAAGTGTTAACATTATCTGCTGATAAAACAGAATGTTTTTCTCATAAATTCTTCACTTAACTCATCTGGAGTATCTTTTCCTAACTTTCCACTTAGAACTGAGTCTCTATTGAGTAATACGCATATAACTCCACCCATGGTTTCTGCTATCATCTCTAAACGGTATCTTCACAAAGTATGTGGACTTAACTTTAAAATAGTATCCCTAAAATAGTCCTTAAGAAATAGGCTCCTGTTTTTTTTCTCTCTAAAAAAAAAAGATAGAGATGTTGTGGTAAAAGAGGCAGTTACATTTAACTGTTTTGACAGTAAAACAGTTGGACTGAGATGTCAACCTAGTAGCACCCTGCAGTCAGTCACCAGTGAAAATAATTCGTCAGAACAGATGCCATGAAAGTATTTACAGAAAAGACAGAGGAAGCCACATTACATTGGTGAGAAAGTTACTGGAGTCAACACTCCAAGTCAGGACTGATCATAATGCATATCCATCTTTGGATTGTGTTGAGAACCTAGAGATGAACAGCAGAGGTACCAAATCATCTTTGGCAACAGTATTCCATGCATTGCAAATAGTAGACTTGTAGATGTGAAGGATGGACTCAGATGAGAAAAACCTTCTGGAGCAACACAGAGAACCAATTTTCCTTGTGGTAGATGCTGCTATTGATTTAATGAAGTTGTTCCACCTCAGGTTAGTGGAGAACATGAGACCAAGAAGATATAGTAAGGCACTCTCATGGAGTTGAGCATTAACCATGCTGATAGGAGACAAGGACATTTCTCTATAGTGAGTAAATGACAGCAGTTTCATTTTGGATGCATTAAAATTCACAAGCCATATCCTGCCCCAGTCAACCACAGAGTGGAGATCATTTTTTAAACCAATGGCCAGGTTAATTTTGTCAGCAATGCCGGATTTACTATTGAGACAGGTGTAAATGGAGTGCCATCTGCGTAGATGCTGACTTAAGAACTGATGATATCAGGAAGATCATTGAAGATCAGAAACAGTGTAGGACCAAGGATAGAGCTATGAGGAAAGCCAGCGTTCATAAGGAACGAACTGGAAGAGAACCTGTTCTGGACAACCTTCAATTCACGGTTCTACAGTAATGATTGCATTAAGTCAAATGATCATCCTGTAATACTATATCTCTGAAGCTTGTGTAGAAGCCAAGCATGCCAAAACGCCTTCAATATATTTAGAGCAACAGCTCGAGCTTCGCTGTTATTATCAAGAGCTTGGTATACATATTTAATTATGGCAGTAAGCACATCAGTGGTAGACCAGGCAAAGCAGAAACCATATTGTTTGTCAGAGAGCAGATTGTAGGAGGTGAGATGCTTAATTACTTAATTTTTTTTTTTTTTCAGATAATATGGCTTTCATTTCTCTAGATAAACTACAGATGTATAAACAATTATTGCTGAAAGAGTATATCTTTAGAGAATGGTGAAGCTTGGACTGTTGCTATGGATATCTCAAAGGTATTTGACAGGGTTTGACATATTGGTCTTCTTCACAAGTTGAAAGGTATAGTATTTCTGAACTGATTCAGTCTTTTTTATCAAATTGCAAAATGAAAGTTTTCTTGAATGGCCACTCTTCTAGGTATTTTTGCATTAATGCAAATGTTCCCCAGGACTCTATACTTGAACCTACCTTGTTCCTAATTTTCATCAACAAACTTCCAGATGTCATCCATTCTCAACTAGATATCTATGCTGATGACACACCAGTCTTAATAGTAACTCTGATCAGTTCAATAAGGTCAACTTGGCACCTGATCTCAGAAATTACCTACAATCTGTTATGAACTGGGCCAAGGAATGGCTTTTAATACCTCCACAATGAAACTGCTGATCTGAGAGAACCTTTTTTTGCCTTCCATCAGCATGGCTGATGCTAATCTCCAAGAGAGTGACTCATTGCATTTTCTCAGACTAATGTTTTCTGCTGACATGAAGTGGAAATATATTAAATCAATTGCTAGATCTGCAGCTAGGAGATTTGATTCACTGTGTTGTGATAGACAATTTTTCTTGAGAGAATCTATCTTACATATAAGTCTACCATTTGTACTTGCTTTGAATATTGCTGCAACATTTACTATATATTTAGAGATTCTTGATATAATATAAAGAAGAATCTGTAAAGTTATTGGTCTTGACTTGGCATCTTGGCTTCAGTCACTTTCCCATTGTCATAACATAGCTTACTTGTACTGTTTCTTTAAATATTTTCATGCTAATTGCTTTGATGAATACAGCTGAAATGGCTAGATGTAACTAAGTTCTATGCCAACAGTTTTTTCTATTGCACTCCTCACTTGTGGAACTCTCTTCTGGCTTCTTGCTGCCCAATCAACTTTGACCTTCAAAAATTTAAGTGTAATGTCAATCATTATCTTGTCTTCTTAATTCCTGTTCTCTCTCATTAATAGTGTTTTTCTTCATATTCTCTAACAGTAGCTCCTTACAGGAGCTGAAATTAGTTACAATCTATTTCTATAATGATTCAGTTAAAATAAAAATCAAGCGATCATACGTTTTACATCAATCATGTTTTGTCTCATTAATTAAAATTTTGCTGAAATAAAACTCTTCTGATGACATTGGTTCATTGGTGAAACATTTCAAAATAGAAGTTTGGCAAATGGTCACATTCTGTCAGATTCTCATCCAAACTTCATTCATACATAAATATATATAGTTAGACAGCTTGAATTCATTTAAACAAGTACTATTAAATTCAAACAACTAGATTGAGTGGTCCTCAATAAAATTTCCCAAGAGCTATGAGGAAGTCAGAGAAAACTATGACAACTTACAAGGAGATTCAAGGTGAATTAATGGCTACAAATCAAATATTAAGTTATGAAAACTGGTTTATAAAATACTTTTTCTGAACCAATTTCAAAAATTGAATTTTTCAAAGTTATTTAATTGAATTTTTGGTTTGTTTATTTAATAATTGTTAATCTAATGCCAATACTCATATTTTGAGTATTTACTCACAATACCTCCACATATTGTCCAGATATGACACATGGTCTTCTTAAGGTGAAGTGTCCATGTATGTACACCAAAAATTGCTGGTGTTGGTATTTCACCAACTTTCCCTCTTTAGTGCATTGAAGGAGATGCTGCTGCAGGGTTGGAATCTTTGGAACCAGAGATCCCTCAAGGATTTTCCATGAACTGCCCAAAAGCAGAAACATGGCTGAGGGGTGAAAAGCAGATACTGCACTTCAAACCATGATTTGCATATGTTTGAATTTCTCAAGTGTACAAATATTTATTGCTCACCCTCAACTGTGTGTATGCATTATATATATATATATATATATACACACACACACACACATACAGAGTTAAAAAGAGAGCATGAAACTGACAAGTCAAACAAATATAAGATAATTAAATGTATTTATAATTCAAATTTCAAGATTTCATTTGTCTTTATGAATTATATTTTAAAGTAAATGGCTAATATATAACTATACATTAAACATTTAAGTAAATGTCAATTATTTATTCCTAAATTACATATTAAATAATAAAATTTTGCATTTAATTGAAGTTGTATTGAGAACGTTTGTTGCTCACTTGATATTTGTAGATTCATATATTGAATATGCTTTTTGTAAGATTTTTTAAAATTATTTTGGTTTTGGCACAAGAAACAAATAAAAGTTCAACAAATGTCCAAAACAATTTAACCAAATTCTTTTACAACACAGAATAATGTACTTGGGAGGTTTGACTGTATAATAAAGATTATTTTAATAAAAACAGTATTATAAACTAATGCCCACACACATGAAAATTATGATTGTTGGTAACAAATTGTGTTTGATGATCACATGTTTATTTATTGGTTTTCAGCAGTATGAGAAACAAGGACATTTCTTTAGATTGATTTATTCATTTTTACTATTTATGGACACAAAAATGTCAGTCTGAAAAATTACAGCTACAGATAAAAGAGCTTGAAATCCTCAAGAACCACGAGAATTATAAAAATTATCAAAATATCTTTATTAAACATTTACTATGTCTATATTTCTGAAATGAGGTATTATGTACACTATTTACATTGTTCAGACTATCATATTCATCTTTGTTGTCATATTTATCACAATCAGACGGTATGCTAGTGCCCTAGCATACTGTCTGATTGTGATAAATATGTCAAAGATGAGGATGATAGTCTGAACAATGTAAATAGTGTAAACATTTACTGTTTATCACAATTCATGAAAAAATGTATTTCAATATGCAACAGAATTTGAAATGAGACATATGTCAGCTTGCAAGAGAAAAAAAAAACATGTCCCATACGACACACACAAATACAAACACAATAGTATCATATATTCTTGTTTAAGAAAATGGTTGTATTTAAGGTACTCCATTAAACAAACAGAAATAGGATCGGGCATCAACATATTACATTCTATTGGAATGAAGGAAGGAATTAAAGTTAATAAAGGATTAGTCTATCTCCATGTCAACTGGGATTAGGAAGAAGTGTTAAAAGGCTAAACAGGCAAGAAATTAGAAAAATCTAAAAAAGGCAAATACCTTTATCACTATCTTGTAGATTCATGTACTTGAGAGGATCAAAAACATCTGTCTCAAAAGGGTTGTCATCTGGTTCTTTCTTATTATTGTATTTGTCAAGCCAACTGAATGATGAAGGAAGACCAAATCCAACTGTATGTGTTAAAACTGAAAGAAAAATATCAATTCTGACATGAGTTATCTAAAAAAAAAAATCACTTCATCTAGTGATTCCTGGTAACACAAATTAAGCATAATAAATCACCACTTTTTACAAAAAAAAGGTTGTCATAAATATTAATGATATAATTCAACTAATCTACCTCGATTTCCCTTTTATGAGTTATTTCAGATTAACTTTTCATATATTTTGATAACAAAGACTATTATTAACACATCCAGCACCAAAGAACTTAATTAACATTTTTATTAATTTACTTGTTTAACAAGTATGAGAATTACTTTTGGAAATTTGCACCTTGTCTTCATTTTGTCCTCTGAATACTGCTATGACTAATATCTGTTTTTCAATGATGCTATTTAATTTCTGGAGAATCTGCATTGTTCTATTCTTAGTATACCTATGTCAGTGAATTAATGTTTACATTTTTAATAAGAGTAGCAAATTATGGATGTATTCAGAAAAGTCAGAAAATCACAAAAGTTCATTATTTTCTAAAAAGAAACAGAGAATGAGAAGAATGGAAATCATAAAATTATTCCATATCTACTGATAAAAGTCCTCACCTCCAAGACTGGCTGCAAGAGAAAGTAAATAAAAAAAAGAAAAAAAAAAAAGAGTGAAGAGTGAAAATAGTTTCCAATTTGAAGTCATTTTCCCAATTTCATTAAGATCCTAACCTCATGATAGACAACCAGAAAAAGCCAACATTTAAAACATGGATTTTTAAAAATTTAATTATATTGTAAAGTTTTTAATTTTTATTCATTAAATTCTTAATAGAAAAACTTGAAAACTTTTCATCCATCTTGTAATAAAAATGCAAGAGCAAAGTAAAATACAAAAATTACTTTTTACTTAATCACTCTTCTAAACAATATAAAGTTCTGATACATCAATAAAAGTCATTGTTTCATGCTATTTCTGATACATCAACATCTAGATGAGTCATTATTTCATGCCCAGAAATAAGTAAAAATCAGTGATAATCACAAATAAATCTCAAAGTTGATTTGATCTTCTCAGTAAGATTATAAATGAGGAATAAGGAAAATATATATATATATATATATATATATAGTTATGAACCCTTGTCTAATTTTATTCTAAAATCAACACTAAAATTTATATTTTAGAAGTACTCTGCATGAGGAAACAGTACTTTCAGAAAGTGTGAAAATGAAAAAGAAATAAAGTGAAATTGACAATTAACAGTTCTTGATCAAAATTGCATGCATCCAAGCAAAGATCATGTATTCTATAAATGTACACTTTCTCCTTCTTGGTCACATGATAGCATAGACTGGATGCTATCCAGACATTAAAGCCAACTTGAACCCTCTGAAATACAGCAGAAAAAGGAAAAGGGTCTGTGACCTCCTCTTGCTCACACATGTTGTATAGGGATAAAGTGTCGTTGCCAACACTGGAGTTTGAACACAGATCACCACTGAGCAAATAGATTCCATTTCTAATAAGTAGACTACATGATTGTAAAGGAAAGGTATATATGGGAATTAGTGTGATGTCTAAGTGATTGCGATTCTCAATACTATTTCTTTATACTGATCACTCTTCAGATTACTATTTAGCATTTACTATTTGTAAGTATTACTAGTACGAGTATTATTCGAAGGATTTACTACTGTTATCAGTGATTTCAAAGCTTCAACTACAGTGAGCATTACGAATGTGATAATGAGCATTCGTTGACAACACAAAGGTGTCTGACATCACAAAAGTGGTGACAAGGATTCATTCAGCTTACACAAGGAAAAAATTAATCTGCAAAAAGTTCAGCAGAATGGAAGAGTTAAAAACTATCATAGTTCAAATGTTGCAGCAACACAAACTACAACAAGAACTACAATTGTAGCAACAAAAACACCATGAACAGCAGTTACAATTACAACAGAAGTTTTCTGAGTTGTTCACTAAAACAATGAAAGAAAAAATTTAAGATTCTTTCACTACAGATGTTGTCACTAATTCAATCAGTAAATTCATGTATAATCCAGATGAAGGGGTAACTTTTACATCTTATTACAGAAGATATGAAAGAATCTTCAAAAGGGATTATTCATATTGGAATGATGAAAAGAAAGTTTGGTTATTATTGAGGAAATTAACCCCTGCTGAACATGAAAAATATGTAAATTATATCTTGCCAAAGAAACCAAGAAAGATAAATTTTGATAAGACCATCTTAATACTATTGAAAATCTTTGGTGATATGAGTTCATTGTTTAATATATAATGACAATGTCTTAACTTGCTAAAGTCCAACAATGACGATTTTGCCACATATACAAGAGTCGTGAATTGAGAATGTAAAACGTTCAAATTAAGTGAACTCCTGATTTGTTTAAATGTCTGATATTCGTTCAGGGTTTAACTTCTAATAAGGATACAGAAAATGGATCTAGGATACTTGCTGAATTAGAATGAGATCTAAAATTAAGTCAACGTATTGTGAATTTGAAACTCAATACTGCAAGGATTGAGAAAAAAGGCAATGTAACACCTGCATTTAAGCCCAATAGGAGTGTACCATTTGCAACTTTAGATCCAATTAACAATGAATTGGACCGACTAGGAAAATCTGGTGTTATATCAAAAACAGATTATTCCAAATGGGCATCACCAACAGTAAACAAAATGAATAATAAAATCCACGTGTGTGCTGATTTTTCAGCAAGGATAAATGAAAATCTAAAAAAAATATAACTACCTGTTACCAAGTTCAGAGGAAATTTTTGCCAAATTGAATGGAGGTTAATTTTTCTCCAAGTTGGACCTATTAGACGCATACCTACAAGTACTAGTGGATGAAGACTGCTCAAAATTATTAACAATTAACACTCATAGAGGGTTATATAAATATTCCAACAGATAATGGATACCATGCTTGCCAGTTTGGATTGTGCTCAAGCATATTTGGATGATGTACTTATTAAAAGCAAGACCTGAAAACAATATGCAGAAGATCTAAAGAAAGTATTTGAGAGAATCAAAGAATATGGCTTTAAAATAAGTGAAGGAAAACTTGAATTATTTATGTCCTGATTTAAATATCTAGGGCAAATCATTGATGAAAACAGTAGACAACCGGATCTTTCAAGGGTGAGCGTGATATGCTCGCTCCAACAAATGTAACAAAATTACAAGCATTCTTAGGTCTTGCTAACTACTATCATACATATATACCTAATATGCATGAATTAAGAGTGCCATAGACATAAAATGCAATTAGAGAGCTAAATGTCATAATGCGTTCGAACAGATCAAGAAAGTTTTAACATCGGATTTGTTACTAGCTCATTTTGACCCTAAATTAAATTAGATTGTTGTTGCATCAGATGCAAGTGATTTGAGTATTGGAGCAGTGATATTACACAAATATGAAGATGGAACAACTAAACCTATAGCTCATGCTTCAAGATCATTAATTGTGGCTGAAAGAAGCTACAGTCAAATAGAAAAGGAAGCACTGGCCATCATATTTGCCATGAAAAAGTTTCACAAATTCATACATGGTAGAGAATTCATACTGCAGATAAACCATCATCATTTATTGTTCATATATGGATCAAAAAAGGGTGTTCTCATACAGAGTGAATAGACTGCAGCACTGGGGATCTATCCTATTAAATTATAATTATAAAATGGAATTTCTACCACCCAAAAAATTAAGTCATGCAGATGAATTGTCTAGACTGATACCCAGATTCTGTGAACAACTTGACAACACAATAATTGTGGCGATAAGGGCCGAAAATGAAATAAATAATGTATTGTATAATACCATACAAGAACTCCCCATAACATTGGAGGAAATAAAAATTAAGGCGGAAAAAACCACTTAATAATGAAAATGAAGAAGAAATTAAGATCTAAAGGGATAAATACTATGGAAAATAATGTGTTTTCATTATCTAATGGTGTACTGATGTATGCAGAAAGAGTGGTGATACCAGCATTGTTAGAAAGATGTATGTTAAAAGAATTTCACAGAGGACATCCAGGAATTTCTAGGATGAAATCTTTAATGAAGCGTTATACCTACTGGTCAAAAATGGATAAGGATATAGAAAATTTGGTGAAATTATGCAGAGGTTGTGCTCTGGTATCAAGTCACCCCCTATCAAAGTTCAACCTTGGCCGACAACTGACATGCCATGGTCTAGAGTACATGACTTTGCAGGACAGATAAACGGAGCTTACTATCGAGTAGTAGTCGGTAGTTATACTAAATAGCTAGAAATACTAAAATGTAGGAGACCAACTACTGCAGTAACTATAAATTTCCTACAAGATTTTTGCAAGGTTTGGTGTTCCTGACTAACATTTCAGATAACGGGATCCAATTCACGTCTAATGAATTTAAGTTCTTTTGCAATTGAACATATCAGAACTCCCCCCATATCACCCAAGATCAATCAACATGTTTAAAAGAGCACTAAGGAAATTGGAGGAAGAGGAGTCAAATGAGGTAATGATTCAGCAATTTCTAAGTGTTTACCAAATTATACCAAATCTGAACACCATGTCTTGAATGTTGCCTGCAGAGTTGATGTTCACTAGGAAGATCAAAGTCCATCTTCAATAAGTTATTACCTGAATGCAAGGTGAGAACATCAACAAATTATGGCACAAATAAGTATTTGAACCTTGGAGATAAAGTGTTTTTCAAGATGTAGCAGAATGACATATATGGTACAGAGACAAAGGTGGGTACATAGGAGACACCTGAATCAGCTAAAACATTGATTCACTGAATTAAAAATTCCGCAAAAAGAGGTACTAATGGATATTCAGTATGACACCAGAAATTGTTCAACCAAGGGTTTATGGCAAAAGAAAAAGAATACCAACAGAGTTTTTAACCACCAAACCAAAGCTGAAAAAGTATAGATTCCAGGAGAAGTCATCTCAAAGGGGAGGTGTTGTAAAGGAATAAAGTGTCATTGTTAACACTGGAGTTTGA